CACAATGCATGCTCTCTACCAGGCTAATCGCACGCGACAGTGAGTTGCAGTAAGTGGAACGCATCTGACAGGTCTATGAGCATATAGACCAATCTGCCCTAGGCGTCTGTACACGGTCTGCTTGAAATTGTCGTACCAGTGGCTGAAGAGAGCTGACGAGACAGGTCTGAGGCTGTGCTCCGCCTGTTTCTTTTGGCAGTAACTGCCAAATACCGGTCCTCATTCGGCGTTGTAACTCTGGGGCGGCCTGTGCTGTAACGTCTACTCACATGACCATCATCTTGGAATCGTTTCCAAAGCCTGGAGATGACACTCTGGGCAATTCCAAGTTCGTCTCATACTTCCAGTTGTGTACGCCCACATTCCAGACGGCCGATAATTCTACCACGTAAAAAATTATCCAAATGCGTTCTTTGTGTCATAACTATTTGGTTATTGCACTGAAATGCTTATAAAGCGCCTGCGAACAATTTTACTTCTTTGCCTGAATTCCTTATATATCACTCTCTTACAGTCTCGTCATTGTGACGTACCATCGGTGTCATCTGGTTATTTCCTGAAATTTGCATATGATTCTTGAAGATGTGTGTAGTGATTTTACAGGTGATATATTTATTTTAGAGTTCGATTTCCAAGTGACTCCGAATTATTCTTAATTTATGGGCATGAGTGTATTTTGCGATTTTGCTTTGAACTGAATTTTATGCTTTAAATGCGAAGAACGTGGTATTTAATAAATAAATTTTAACAAACGTTAAAACACAAAACTTTAAAAAAAAACGCCCCTTTGTACGTAATTTATAATCTGAAACATTTCAGATTTTTATTATTATTATTATTATTGTAATTTTCTTCAAAATAACAGTTGTACTTTTTAAGGAATGAACGTCCTTTAAATAATAGCTTTTTCAAGATGTTTTTTTCGCACTTTACGCAAAGAGCATTTGGCGTTCTATAGAATGCCCAGGTATTTATTGTATAACAATACCGAGTTATAGTATACAATATTTCTTCAAATTTCATGATTTGCCTAAAAAAACCGGGCATTCTATAAAATGCTTATGTATTCTATAGAATGTCGGTATTTCAGTATGATCTTCCAAGGTTTTCTACAATCAAGAAACTTTTCACCCAAAAGCTGTCAAGTGGATTCCGCTTTACGTTTTCCTGTTTACCATTCGTTTTCGAAATTTTAGGGAATTCCACAGCAACTTTTAAATGTATAAAGCATTAAAAAACACCTTTCATTATATAATTTTTCGACCTACATTCTCGAGTCGTTTAATTATTAATTTACAAAATTCATCAAAGACGTATTTGAATAATACCTTGAGATTTGAAATACTTTCGACAATCAAACTTTATTTAAGTGAGCAAGAAAATTTTGTAATATGTGTCCAAAGACTTATAAGTTTCTCTTGTTAATTACATTCAAGTTATTATAATGTTTTCCACCTATCGAACTATCATTGCTATATAAATAGTTATTCTTTATTAAGCACAGTTATTTCCTATCGATTATTTGCAATCTTTGAAGAAATGACCAGGGGAACATAAAATATGTTTAATTTTTACAAAAGAAATTTCTTTAAATTTAAGGGGACTCGTACACCTTAAAAATCATAATATCTTCGAACATGTGACTGTTGCAAGAATTGGGATAACTTATTTATTTTAAAAGCAATTACTTCCAACGTTTTTCAGCTGACTACATAATATAGCTGCTTTCTGAAATAGTGATCAGAAAGTTTGTGTTGCCACAAATATTTTTATAATTTAATCCACTTTTTGACAAAATTTGCGTCATGTTTCCAACTTGCGCGCATAGTTTAAAACATTCTGTTGCATAATTTAATTCCATATTTAATATATAGCTTTTATAACATTTGGAAACGACTGTAAACCAAAAATTCTAAGAATTTCATGTTAAATTTTTATTTTATTTGGAGTCAAGTTTATAAAATGTATTTTATTAAAAAAAACTGTAATGTTTTCGTCCATAAAATTTTTTAATATTAAAACATTCATCAGATTTTGGGTTCAGTTAAAAAATAGGGCTCATATAAAGAATTCCTTCAGATTTCAAGTATATACCATTAGCCATTTTTAAAATATCGTGCGCGCAAGGTGGAAACGTGACGAAACATTTTGTCACAAAGCGGATTAAATTACAAAAATATGTGTGGCAACACAAACTTTCTGGTTACTAGTTTCCAAAGCAGCTATATTATGTAGTCAGCTGTAAAGAGTTAGAAATAATTGATTTTAAAATAAATAAAATTTCCCAATTTATGTAACAGTCACATATTCGAAGGGTGTTAAGGGGTTTAAGGTGCATGAGCCCCCTTAAAACACTTATAAAACCTGAATCATTTAAAACACTTTCGAGATTGGAAGTATATATGTCTACGACCAACGACTGCGAAAGTAAAGGCCTAGTTAGATCATTTGTGGTCACGATGTATATAAAAGAAACATTAATTTTTTGCGCATGAATTACAGAGGGTGTTCACACATTTTTGTAACGATGTTTCAAAGATTTATATACAAACAAACCTTAGAGTTTTATTTCCTAATATGTTCAATCCGATAGCCCTTTTGCTGATCTATCATATTACATCTGGGTTTCCAAGATAAAAGTCCTTTGCTTAAAACATCAAGGTTGATTTTATTCCACTCCTCTTTCACAATTTTCCAGAGTCCATCCAATGTTTTGGGATGCCGCTTGTACAAAGCTTGTTTTAAAAGTCCAAATACACAGTAATCCAAAGAAGACATATCTGTGTACTTGGGTGGGATGCATTTCAAAGAAATAGCTCCAATTTTTTTTCATTTCTCATTTTTTTAAAAAAAAAATAGATCAGTAGATTTAGAGGTATGGCTTGGAGCCTTATCATGATGGAACTTAACACATTGAACATTGTTGAGATGGAATTTCTTCTTCAAAAATAGGTATTAAAACATATTATTTCTGATAGTAATCTGAATTAATTTTGATATTTTTTCTCCTTCCCTTGTAAGGATTATGTTAATTTTATCAACAGTTAAATTTTGAGTTAAAGTTCCTTTCCTGTCGGTTCTTAACTTCAGCTTACTACTTCCGGCCAGAACGTAGTTTCAGAATCACTCTGAATACATAATGAGGAAGAGCGGTATTTAAACCGCAAAGTTCTACTTGCTGAGTTAGAGAGAATCAGAGTTTTTGATTAGCGTGCGTTTGCCTTTTGGGCTACTCTGTCTCAAAGTTGTTATTACGCTCGGCCGTACTCTGGCCCTTGATAGCTTGGCAGTCAGTTAGAGTTAAAGGGCCAATTCGGTTAGAATCTTGATAGTTTCGGCTATATCTATTTAGTTTAGATTAGTTTTAGTTTACTTCTTAGCCTCTTAAGTTCAAGCCCAAGTGTCGGCTTTTATTGTACACGCCAAGACGGAGTTCTGTTAAATCTTATTTGAATAATAAAGGGTTATTAACCTTTTGATCTTGTTGATTCTTGTCACACGAACTCAAGCGATTATTCGCTTATCAACGTTCAACAATAACTTAGCATCTACAAACTGAGGAACTCTGCACCCTTATTTAAGTTTTCCGTTATAAGAGAAATCAGTAATAACCATAAAAACTTCATAAAAACTTTCCTTGTTTTATTTGAACCAACATATTAAGTCTTTATCTCCTCTTTTTCGGTAGTCTTTCAATTACAATCCGATACGTATATCCAAGCCTCATCAATTGCAACTATATACAGTCAAAAGTCTTTAATCCGGAATCGTCGGGACTTCGGCGATTCCGGATTATGGACGTCCGGATTAAAGACTTTTCACTGTATTTCCATTTTTCACCTGTCGGATAATTTTCATACAGCAATCTGCACGTAGTCTTACGCCGAGAAACATGTTTCGGCGTCAGGCGATGAACGTCATGTTTTTTTGTTTGAATTCGCTTTAAATGAAATTGTATAATTTTGTTCACTTTCTACAGAGATATTTAAAGATTTTGCTATAGCTCATTGGAGGGTGGACTATTTTTGAAAGCATGAGATGCGATTTTTAGATTGAATAAGAGCTGGACGTAACTTTGTTGGGTTTGCTTTTTTTGCCTTTTTCCCCACTCTGGTGTAAAATTTGACATTTCTTTCCTTTCATATTAATTATGTCACTTATTTTACTTGTACAAATATTAAAACCATGCATTTCACACATGCAACCATGCATTTTTATAATAATTTATAAGGTATTTCAACCGCTTTTCCTAGCGTGCATTCGGGGTGTAGTGGTTCTACACACTGGGTCGGTATTCCAGAGGTCCGTGGTTCGATTACTGGCGAAGGCGGTTGCTAATTTTTCATCTCTCTGGCTCGAAAAATAATCCTAATGTCTCTACAGTGGCGTCCGAACTAAAAGGGTGTTGGATGAGTATTCTCCACACCCAGGATTTGGCGATTGAAACCCCAATCGGCCTTTAAAAAGGGGAGTATATAAGGTATTTCTCCTGCTTTCCTAGCGTGCCTTCGTGGTGTAGTGGTTCTGCACGCTGGGCCGGTATTCCAGAAGTCCGTGGTTCGATTCCCGGCGAAAGTGGTTGCTCATTTCTCAATCTCTCTTGCTTCCAAAAAATCCTAATGTCTCTACAAATTGAATATGAGTATTTCTCTTTGGACAGCACAAAAATATAGCCTTCGATGCATCGTTTATTGCTCAGGGATATTTCAAAGAGAAGAATATTTTTAATGCTGCAGACGATAATTAAACCTTATTCCAATTCGATGCCAGTCACGTTTGTATTTTAAAATTAATATTTAAATTCAATTATTAAAAATCAAAATCATTACAAAAATGGGTGAACACCCTCTATATATGCTTGGGTTTTATAAAATTAGCTATTATATGATAGTTCTTTTACTGATAACAGCATCGTGTTTCACTTTTGTAACCCTATATTTACTGAATGCATATTTCAATATCTGTTTATGTTTTAAAATAATGGAATATTTAATTTTCAGCGATTTTAGCTATAATGAGATTTCATCATTGGAAAATTCACCCTTTCAACACCAAAGTAAACTGATTGACCTATTTTTGGGTTACAATTTCATACGCTACATTCCTGAAGACGCCTTTCTGGGTTTGCAAAATTTACAAGTTTTGTAAGTATAAAAAATATTAATTATTGCATCTTTATACGTTATAGATCGCGAGCACAAGATTTAAATACTTGGAAAACAAATTTGACATTCCGGAGAATTAGAAATTAAGAGTTTATTTTTAAAGGAATTAGTTGTCAATAAAATTTTTTCTGGTTGTAAATTTCATGTAAACAAAATGGAATACAATTTAAGGATTCTAATGAAATTTGGTTTTTTATTAAGTCCAAGATTTTTTCTAATTAATGAAAAACGTCAATTAGTAGTGTAAAGACCTTTCCCTTCTGATTTCAATTTCCTGCCAGAATGCAAATTTCAATCACGTATGTGCAAATCTAAATGAGTTTGGAAATAGTATTTAAGAGCAGAATTTAAGGGTTCGCGGTAAAAAAGTTAGTTACAAGTTTCTGCCGCGTGTTTGCAAGTGTTGCTGAATAATTTTGTGCTAGTCACTTACTTTAATTTATATTGATACTAGCAGAAGTACCAAATGCCCGTTAGCATATTTCACAAGTGCACATCAGCGTAGCCACTGAGGGAGGGGTTTCGAAAATGGACCAATGAGCTGCTATTGCTCTTGTGACGCTAAATCTTCGTGCAAGTGAGCGTATGTTGTTTACGTTTTAATTTGTATTTATCTCGCAATTATAAATATATGGCGTAATAGTAGAAAATCTCGTAGTGCTTTTATCTTTTGAGTTTGATTAATCGTTGACATTTCACTTTCGAGAATTTTATCACGCATTAATATTAGGATTGATATTCACGGCATATTGTGTGGATTATGAGAATGCAAGTGTATAATTTTTTAATTGAGCTGAGAATGACTGAAAGTGTTACAATGAATCTAGTGTTTTCTTATTTCAGTGCTTGGATTCTTTTGATTTTTAAAGTGTAAGATTCCGAACACATATGATTTGATTATATCCATTCGTTAACATTAAATACTCGTTGTGAATATATGTGAATAAATTGAATATACTGGTTGTGAATACGATAGATTCACTCTGTTTTGATGAGTATTCCTTGTGTAGGACAGTACATTTAAGAGTGATCAGTTATTAAATATGAAATTTAACACACTAAATGTATACGAATGGCAAATTAAAGTAAATTCCTGCACTGACTATTATTGTATAACATCTTTTTCATGTACACTAGACTGCAATAAAAAGTGTTGACTTCTAGTTTACTTATATAATTTGGTGTAAATATTTTTCTCATACGCATAATTTTATTGTAAAGATTGCATTTGGGCTCTGATGTGCATCACATATTTCTTTCTTCGTCTTATTTATCACTTATTAAGTGATATTTGGCATCGAATATTTTTGCGGAAGCATCCGACATGTGTTTGTGTTTATTTCAACCAGGTAGTGAAATTCTTCATAATTTCTTATATTTGATCTAATTTTCGCAATGAAAAGTTTCAGAAGCAAATAGACGATGCTTTAATATTTTGTACAGAAAATTGCGTGGCAGAATACTTTTAACCATCTTCCTTAAATCTTAAAGCACGCTAAAGGTCATGTGACATGACAGAAATATTACTGGATGCTCATTGGTCCGCTCTTGAAGCCACTCCCTCGGTGGCTACACAGATGTGCACTTCTGAAATATGCTGCCCGTTAAATTAGATTGAGAGTAATGTATCTAACAACAGAACTAACGATACCGCTGTAATAACGATGCAAAAAATACGATTCGTAGGCATACATTTTTCAGTCTGATGTAAGATGGAGCCCACATAAAAATTTGGTTAGAAAAATAAACTAATTCGTCCTCATAATATCAGTGGCACGCAGTTTCTATCAAATGGTCGTAAAAGCTCAAGTTCCATGCAATATTTTACGTATATTCAATTTTAGTCGATTAAAAGTGGCACAAAATTGCATCATAATTGATCAGAAATCAATAATACGAACAAACCAAGCACACAAACAAGCATTCTTCTTTATGTATATAGATTTTGTAAAACTTATAAATTTTTTATTAACAAACTCTACGATTTGAAAGCGAGCAGTGGCAACACTTCTCGAAATAAAGCAGACTTTAATCTCCAGCGTGCAAGACTGTTGCCACTCGGAAAAATGAATGCGAAAATTAGCTTTTTCAGAGTTTTTAAGTAATATCTCGTCTAATTAAAGTCGTGCGAAGATGGGAACAGTCGAAATGGCGTACGACGAATTTTCGGAATCGGGAATAATGTATTTAATGTTTGGCAATGCTATTTTTATTTCATTATAAAACTTAGAAATTTTTATTAACAAACTCTACAATTTGAAAGCGAATAGTGGCAACACATCTCGAAATAAAACAGATTTTTATCTCCAACACGCGAGAGTGTTGCCACTCGAAAAAATGACGGCGAAAATTAGCGTTTTCGGAGTTTTTAATTAATATCTGTGATTTTAGCTATTTTTGCGGGAAGGGGGGAATGGACGTAGACCTTTTCCAGGATTTAGAAAAAAATTGTAGAAAGTTTCGCGACGATACTTATAGTAGTGCCTGAGTTAATCGCGAACAAACAAACACACAGGCATTCTTCTTTATATATATAGATTCTAGACTCGACTTTTCAGTGTGCAGCCGATAAAGCAGATTTAGACTGGAGTTAAAGCTAGCTACGCAGTTAAAATTTTAATTCATTCTGACTTTTTTTTTTTTTTTCTGTATATATGACTATGTGTTTACGTTACTTAGCCACAAGTGGTGGTTAAATTATGAGCGGCGAGTTGGTGCATGTTCTTTTCAGTTAGTTAAAATAAAAAGGTTGTTATAACCTTCCTTGGCTTGGTCTGGGCACACCTAGGGTTCGCCGTTTGATTTTAGCCAAGATTTCAAGGTAAAAATTTTAAACTAATATAGAATAAGAAGATTACCATACAACCAAAAAAAAAAAAATATCATAGAAATTTCTTTTCAAACAATTCCTTTTATACCCCCAAATAAATCTGAAAGATTTCTTTGAAGAATGAGGGTCTTAAAAAACTAAATATGGCTAAAATATATGGACTGGTTTGTGTTGAGCTGCCATCTATTATAAATAAAGAAGGTTCAGAGTAACCTATAGTAACCTATAAATCCTTTTTCATTCAATTTTTCTGTGCGTACAGAAGGAAATTTTTAGGTGTGTCCAGACCGCCGCAAACGGTTAAATAACATTTATAATAAATAATGCTTGTGCCATATTGTACATTTAACAAAATATTCTTTGTACTTCTTTTTATACGTATATAGTTTTTATTAAATTTTAATATTCATCACAGGCTGCTATTGAAACTTTTACTAGTCTAATATTAAAAACTTGGTTAGTCTATATTTTAGGGTGCCCCTTGGATTATCGCCAAGTTGTTGTTTCATTTATCGCCAAATTGTTGTTTCATTTATGGTAACTTGAATAGTTGAATGTTATTGGAAACGCTATTATGACGTGATTGCGGTGAATTTGACTGATGGGAAAATATTTGTAAGGGTTTATTTCTGCGTTGGATGTCAGGAAGTACGTTGCTTATCTTGTGCTGTACACCGCAAAATGGCTGTATATGATGAAATTAATCTAAAGTTGCTGTACGGTTTGGAACGAAAAGGGAAAAAAGCATTAATTGACTGGTGTGTAAATGAAAGTTCACGTAGTAGTCATTACAAGTGTCCTGTTTGTAGGAATGAAATGCTTATGGTCGAACGTAAAGATCGTTCATGAATGGGTTTGTCGCAAGAAAGGTTCATGCAAGAAATGTCACCGACAGTCTGGCACTAAGGAGGATATTTTTTACTCTAATTTTTATGAACTTATGGGGTAACGGCAGTATGCATACTCCAGTTGAGATAATTTTAGAAAGCTTTTTGGATGCTGTTAAGGAATTTTGTGTGCCACAGACTGAAGACACATAAATTTCTAAATATAGCAAGTAAATATTTCCTTTTTGGTAGTGCGTATATATGCGATAACATGCATTTCCTTTTTTATGTTATTTCATTGTGTGATTTAATATGCAATTTATTGAGCTTCGATCGGCTACAAATTTTGTTTAGTTTTGGTGATGAGTAACTTTAACATTGTATGACGCCATCATTCTCTTGAATTTTTTAAGAGAAAATAGATCGATGTGTACATGAACAAAGGAATTGGGCAATGTCTAGTTTGTGCAATGCACTGAGGTTTTTCAAGTGAAAATAAATCGATGTGTACATGGACAGCGAGTTTGTGCAGTTCTTCGACTTGTTATTTTGGTTTTGTGTAGCGGCCATCTTGAAATTGTGCCTTGTTGGCCAATTTTCGCCAAGGGGCACCTTGAAATATATTTTTACCAAACATTTTATCCTCATTCTCGGTAGACTGACTATACAATAATAATAAAAACGCTGTACCTGTGTTTTGCGACTTGCTGTCACAGAGATAAACGAATCTATTCGCAGGAGTATAAAGTTTATTCAAATCAAAAATGAAGCAATATGTAACAAGCAAGCTGAAACTTGTGTTACAATCGTTTCTCTTTGTAAGTTATTGGCTTGCCCTTAGAAACAAACCAACATTCTTTGTATCTTGACTTTTAGATTTATACTTTATGACTTTGTTTATTGCTTTTTAAAAATGTTTTACTCTTTGAATGTTCTTTTTCCAGAGACTTGATGCATAATCATATAGAGAGTATACACGAGAATGCATTTATGAATCTCACTAAACTAACAGACCTGTAAGTAGAATTTCAAAACATAAAATATTTGCACTCTGTTTAATTAGTTTGAATATTTAGGAAGTATCATTTTACTTAAACAACAATATAAGAAATGGGGCAACATTTTATAATTTATTACGCAATTAAATAATAGCAGATTCAGCTACAGTCCGTTACTGTTTATTATGTCCATTTTTATTTATAGCATTGCAAGTATTTCGTCTACCTAAACACTAGTACTTTTAGTCTACATTTCATGAATAAAAATTTTTAATTTGTTTCCTCATAAGAAATCTGCTGCTAAGTTACTGAATTTAACGCATGAATATTTAGTTTATTATTAATAATTACAATTATTCAGTTCCTAAAATACAAAATATATGCCATTATCTTTCGTTATTGCCCTCATTTAAAATTTTTTTATAAAATTAAGTTAAAATTTATTTCAGAAGCGCAATGTTGTTTTAAAATCTTCTAATTTGTTACACTAATGAACACTGCGCTGCTGTATTTTGAAAGGTAAATTAATTTCATACCTAGATAATTGCAGCAGTTTTCAGAATTATGAATTTATGAGATCGTGTGTATTATTGATGCTGTGATAACATAACTTAATGTGGCATGATAAACATAAATAGTGTTAAAAGACCTGGGGTTGAGAAGTTATGGCAGTTGAAATATACTTTTCTAGACTAAAATAAAATTTATTTATAAATGTTAAGAAATAATCAATGAAAAGGAAGAAAAGTGATGTAAATACAGTACAAAGTCTGTAATCCGGACTCGTCGGGATTTCGCCAATTCCGGATTAAAGGTTTTTCCGGATTATACATCAATTTAAATCTGGTAAGATGGCATGCAGAAATTATACAATTAAAAATATGAAACCGTAATTTATGAAATAAAGAGCAATTATGATCTACAGGGTATCAAAATTTACAAAAAAAAAAAAGCTTAATATTTATTTGTTTACTTTATTAAACATTTCTTTCAATGTAAGTTGTTTAAGTTGCTTACATTTTTTGTGCTAATACTTTCTCTTTAATTCTATAAACAGACATAATTTCTTCTTCAGTTACAAAAGTTCCACTGTTCAAGTCCTGTAATTGCTGTGTCGAGAATACCGACTAACTTGTCAATCGAAATTTTTTCGTTTTCAATAACCTCTCTGTCACTTTCTTCACTATCGGAAGCGGTATTTTCTGGATCTAGAACCATACTACAGATTTCGCCGTTCGTTAATTGATTAATGATTGGGGCATTGTCGTCGCAATGAAAAACTTCTGTTATATCATCTTCATTTATTACCGCGTTCCACATTTCTTTACAAAATTCAATAACTGGAAAATTTAACCTTCAGTTTGCGATGTCCGAAAACCTTTAAATTCGCGGTTATCATCTTCATCGTCCTCAGCATGAAATATGGTATCTGGCCATAAATTATGCCAAGCATTTTTTAACGTATCTGGAGACACATCCTTCCAACGCGCATGCGCTTGCGTAAACGCATTTACGCGCATGCGTAAAGCATACAAAAAAGTTTGTGGCTTTGATGTCCGGATTATAGATCATTCCGGATAATGGACGTCCGGATTACGGACTTTGCACTGTATACTGTATTTCTAATTTTTCCATTAAGAACTGTAATTGAGGTAACATGAGGTATCAAAATGTCGAAAAGAGAAGAGAAATAGAACTAGTATTTCTGCTTAGTGCAAAAATAAAAACAAAACTGCTGATTTTCCTTCATAATACATTATTTGTTTATTTTGTTATGTTACTTAATTGCATTAATCATGTACCTATTAAATTAGTTTTCAAGATTTTTTACATTATAAGAATAAATTAAGAGATTATAAAACGTATATGTGCTACAGTAAAATACCTCATAATCACATGGTGCTCGTCTTATAATGTATTTGTCTTCGTATGTGTTGGAGTTTGGCCTTTTATGTAATAGATTTTTAATGTAAAAGCGGGTTAGAATGTTTCTACATTTTAACACGTTATTTTCATAAATTTGATTTAAATCTCCAGTTTGAAAACATAACAAGCGCCCGAAATTAAAACGATATTTACTTCCTTGTACGAAATAAAGAGAAATTTTGAGTTTCAGACTTAAAAGAAAATATCCATTTTGACCGCTCTCGAATTCATTTGAACAATGTTTTCGCGTGGTATCTGTACGTGCGAACAGAATAAAGACTCCTTTTCCCGAAACGGACTGTAAAATGGATTTAAAATGGATTCAGAAGAAATTGTTTCGTGACGTGGATGTATCTCGCATAACTCAAAAACGACGAGTAGCCTCAGAACGTTAAAATTTCGTGTATGAGACTGCTATAATATGTAGTTATGCACCTCCCTTTTTGGTTGCTATCGGCATCACCAAAAGTATATAAATATATATACATATAATACCTATTCTATTAGACTGGAAGAGAAACACGCTAATGTGACAATCAAAATCCTAAAAACAACCTTGTATTTAGCGTAAGTATATTGAAACACTCATTTGATTTCGAGGGCAGCTAAATGTCCCTCCTCATCAGGAGAAAGAAATACCAAGAAAGAAGAAAAATAAAGGGGAAGGAGTCTCAGAAACACGTGGTCCTTAACGCACTGCACGTGGTTATAACTGGATTTTTAATCAGAGTTACACTGGCCGCCTACTTTTACTGAACCAGGCTATCTGATCAAACATGTAACACAAAGGACAAGAAAATTAGCGAAGTTAAAAATAGAGAGCGAGGGGCAACTGCACCTTCAGGCTCAAAATCTGAACTTCGAATACTGGAAAGCAACCACTGAACGGAATTTTATACCCTCTGGTAGTACCAAACGCGAGGAGGTAACGCCATCTATCGGCAAAAATAGTAACTGAATTATAGTAGAATTTTAAAGGCATTAGGAAGGACTGGATTGGACTTAAAATCATTACTTAAATGCTAAATCTTTGTGAATATGAAAAGCCTCAAGAAAATCCAATTCACCTATGGAAGAAGCCTTTTGGATAATTTTTGCAGACCCAAGTCAAAATTATGGTTAAAAATGTCCAACTATAATACGTATTGAAGACTTGTTAATTTCGTTTTTTCGAATAAGATCATGTTCCTTGATACGAAACTCCAACGTCATTTTTTTTGGCCAATATATCTTAACACACTGACACCATATACTATAGATCCCCAATTCAATACAGAAACGCAATCTTTTAGAATCGAAGGGCGAATTTTATTAATAGGGGAGAAACCGACTTGAAAATTGAATTTCTGGAGAATCGTGCAATTTATAGCTAACAGAAGGAAAATGAAGCACGACAGGTCATTATTATTTCTAACAGTAGAATGTGTTCTTCGATGGAAAACTGATTTTTTTTTATTTTTATTTTTTTTTTTTATTTAATATTATATTACTCACTCTGTTAACCGGGTTCGATGAGCTCAGTTTGTTTATCTTATATGTTGATAAATGTGCATTTTGTCAAATGTGACTGAATTATGTTGATCTTATGTTCCGGTTACGGTTTTTATGCCTTAGTTAATCTGCATGCACAGTTGGAGAATTATCAACAATTTAAAGTTTTAACCAGTTACTGTGGTTGACGGTATACTTCGTATGAGAAGAGACACATTTTGTATGACGAATTACTCGTCATGCGTATATTATGTTAATGAAATGGAAAGATAAAGGGAGGTTTATTTAGTAAGTACTGTACATAATGACAACGTAATAGAAAAAGAGAAAGAAATAATAACAAAAGAAACCGGAGCTATGATTGATTATAATAAAAAATGGGTGGAGTGAATATGAGCGATGGAATATCATAGCGTACTCCACAACAAGAAAAGACTTCAAAGTACTGCAAAAATATTTCCATTTCTTAGACATTATATGTCTGAATGCATCATTATATAAAAAAATAATAATGGAACATTATCGCGTATCAACTTTTTGCTCAAATTTATTGAAGACACTTTTGCGACGTATCCAATTGAAAGAAATAAATCGACACAAACTGGGCCATTTACACCTAATATAAGCCAATTAGGCGGGAATCATGTTCCGGATTATATACTCGGAACATCGAAAAAAAAAAAAAAACTGTACGCGAAGGTGTTCGTATTGCTACAAACAAAAGGAATCGCATTACTGGTGTTCGATTTGCAAAGTCCCATTGTGTATAGTATCCCGTTTCGCTGAATATCACTCCTGGAATTTAAATTCTTACTTTTATATGTATAATATTTAGTTTAATTTATTTGCATTTTTAGTTTAATATGTATGTAATATATGCTTATGTTAACCAAATAAGTAAATATTAGTAATAAAATTTTCAATTTTATAAAATAAAACCATCTTTTTCATCCAATATCTTACCAGCGCAACTTACTCTGTGATGGACGAATATACTCGTCATGGCTCGATTCTAGCGACACAAAACGGTGCACACTCTTAAACAAGAGCGCCACAGTTAATTGGTTAAGTGCTACTAAGCCTAACGAAGCCTCCATATATTCACATTTGAAACTCTTAGTAGAATAGTGAATTAAGGTAGTTGGTGCACCAACTTCAGTGTCTTTTTGCCGAGTGGGACCAAAGTAAGCTTTCTGATTTATGCACGACAAATTTGTCTTTCTGTATTTCGCAATTTTTAATGAAGCTGTTTTTAGTTTTTACATATTTTTGCCTTGCTAAGCAGGGCAAAACTGTGAATAGAATAGATTAAATGAGAAGTCTATCTCTAATGAAACCCGAGGAAATTAGTTTAAATGAAATGCAGAAACAAATATGTATAATTTAATAGGCCGCAGAAGGAAATCATGAAGCGCTCACATCAGACTTTTTATAAACATTTTTTGGTTTGAAAATACGTGTCACTCGGAATAGAAAGATCGAATCTAACTTTAGGCTTTCGATAAAACAAACAAAAAAAAAAAAAAAAAAATACCGCGAACTTTTTTACTGAAAATGCCTTTAGATTATTACCCTCTTCCCCCCCCCTCTGCTGAGATTTT